TTTTCAACGAACTGCATTGAGTTAGCTGCTGGTTTTTCTGGTTCATTGAACTGCTGAATGGATAAGTTCCATGCAAAATGGCAACACAAATGGAGAATGCTTGTAATGTGGATAACTTTGCATGAAAATCAATAGCATAATTCCCCTCTTCAACCATTTTCATGCTGAAAGTAGGACTACTTTCTTTTGCTCCCTGTGCACCAAAATTCAGATAAGTATATCGGTAAAAATAAATAAATAAATAACAAATAATATATAGATGCATGTCTCATGAAACTAATGCATTGGTCAATCCTTCACATAATATATAAACCATAGTTATTGCATCTTAATTTCATGATTTGAATATATCAGGGCTCAATACGAGTCGATAAGCCAACAATTCCTGTCATACAATGAATCACAAATGACTGAATTGTACGGTTCATGCTGAATCAACTCAATTCATATTACCACTATGAATTGCACTAATCAGCTTCAGTGTAATGAATAGCTCCATAAGAAATATGAAGCCATTTTGAAGAGGGGATGCAAAAGTGTAGTAAGACATATGTGTGTCCTAATTAACTCAAAATTAACAATACTATAGTGTTTCATCTAACAAGTCCCTTCAAGAAACATTTGTTAAATTCAAGTTGTACCTGAACAAAAAGTTCCAGTGGTTGATATTCCTCTATAAGTGAGTGATCTTCGGCAAATTGAAGACTAGGATTGCCTAAAATTACGAGGGGACAAGCCATGTCCCAACCGCCACAGTCACAACCACCTCCATGTCTCAACCGATCAAGTAATGATGAAGGACCCCGGCATTCAGTGTTTGGCAAACCATGGTAGCCTGTTGGTATTACCACCTTCAACTGTTCATGGAATTTTCTGTCAACAAGACTCTTTCTACTCTGATCAACTACTGAACAGAGATTGCTTATGTTGGAATATTCTTTATCGCATAATCTATCACCTCTCTTGTACTTCAAGCTTTCTCTCTTAGAAAATGGAATATCCAAGACAATCGCAGTAATTTCGAGGTTTGAATAGGATTCAGTAGGCAACAAGGGAAAATAATTTGAATCTGCAGATTCAACTTTGCCTGATAGGGGCTTGTCTTGAAGTTTGCTTTTGATTGCTATGTTCTCTTCAAAATCCATCCCAAAAGGTTCTTCTTTTGGTCCAACACGGGAAGCTTTTCGAGTTTTAAACGCATTTTGTTCACATAAAGACTTTTTTTCGGACGAAACACTATGTCTTGAGTGTGAAAGATCATACATCACAAATTCCGTCACCATAGAGTTGTCAGATACTTTGTCTTTCATTTCAGAACATATATTACTGGAAACCAGCATCTTTGCGACTATTGAGGAATCTTTGTCAAAATCGTGAGACTCCAACTCGGTGGCATTGCTCTTCTTTCTATTATTATCGATGGAGTGAAAGGTATATACAAAATTGAAACCTTTACCTATTCTCCATGTCTTGGCCACAAAAACATCTTCAGGACACTTCACCTTGAACTCAAAGAAAGGCATTCCATGTTTGCTTTCCAACTTGAGATTACCATGCAGGTGAACCGGCGAAGATGCTATGCCCGAATACTTGATTTCTCTGTTGATAAACTCAGAAATGATATCAGAATGCTTTCCAGTGTTCGACAAGTCATTCAGCAAATATTTCTGATGAGTCCTGTTGCTTATAGTCTCTGATGTCTCATTTGATTTTACCTCATCATTAGTTTCTGCAATATGACTCAGTGGACTTCTCAAAGATTTCGACTTTTTGAAATTATTCATCCTTTTCTTGACAGGGTTGAATCGCACATTTGATAAGTAATCATTTTCCAAAGAAGATATCAAATTAGAGACTTCCACTTTGGCGGAGAGTGACTTCTGCAATGAGTGAACTCTGTCCTTTTCAAGAAGAAAATTACCATTCATTACAGTGTCGGCAACTTTATCGCTTCTGGACTTTAAATTTACGGAACCTCTACCTTCTACTGCATTAGATTTTTTATTCTTAAAGTTTGAATCCATGCGAATCTCAATAAAACCGTTTGAATTGTCTGGCTCCTGGCAAGCTGAGGATCTGGAACTGAAATTTGAATACTGAGATATATCCGAAGGCCTGTGTTTGGAATCATCATCATCTGAACCGCATAAAGAATCAACAATGCTACTTGAGAAAGAGATGTCACTCCTCCTTGAAAATTCTATCTTTTTTCTTCCCCCGGTTTTCTTTATGTCTCTTACTTCCTTGGAACTCTGATACATAGAAACCCTCCTTGTTTCTTCTACATTATCACCTTCCAATCCATGAGGTATTCTAGAGAGACGACTCTTACACGAAGAACTTCGGAAACGGGCAAATTTAATTTCTGCAAAGTCCTCCTTCATGGTAAAAACTTCATCTTTCCCTGAGGATTTCCCTTTTTTAGATCTCTTCTTAACATTCAAACTATATTGCTGAGGTGGAAGAACAGTATTAGGACTCAAACCTACTGAAGATTTGCTATTGAGATCCAACTCCAACTCTTTCCCCATTGATGAATCCAAAGGCATGCACCACCTTTACATGAAAACAACAACAAAAATGCACATACATTAGTTTGTGGCAAAACCTTGCTTACTCTCCAACAAAATCCATACAGAACAATGGCTGAAGTAATAAACAATGTAGCACCAACACTTCACACTGACAATTGTGATTGATTACATGCATCAAAGAAGAAATTGTTGATTGCAATTGCAAGTAGGCAGTGATACCTGCATTGCAGAACAATCATCTAACTTCACCTAAAACATTTAATTTTGAAAGGGCAATTATAACCTTTGAAGCAACTATTATTGTAAAGGGAGACCCACCAGTACCCTAAAAAATTATACATCAGAGAATATTGCATGATCTGTATAATACCCAGATGTGATTTGAGTAAAGTGCCACCGACAAGTTGTTTATAATAAAGTGTACTATGATTTAGATACGAAACCAAAACAACGGAGAATGCAGAAAAAGGAAAAGCACATACTGGAGTGTAGATCTTGAAGAACTTTCAACAAACAGCTTCAATGCAGAATCATAAATTTCCAAGCTTGAACATAAAGACTGCAGGAGAATAACTTAAGAAACCAACCCATTTGAGAAAAGAGCCATGTATTTGCACATGTGTATAGTTAAGTAACTCAAATCACAATCCGAAATAAGCCAGAAAAAAGAGTGTAAACAAAAAAGCAAGTTCAGTTCAATCACCACTATAGAAGATGCAATAAGTGGTTCCGGAAAGTGATGTTAGAAACAGTAAACTAAGCCCAATGCAAGAGAGAGAGAACTGTAACAAACAAGTGAAAGAAGAGACAACAAGTTTTGCATAATATGTTTGTTGCACATGATGTCCCTACATAGTCATGCCATGTTCTTCAAACACCATCATAATCATAATCATGTTGGTTTTCTTTATTTACTTTTTCTTATTATTTTTTTTAAATTTTATATATATATATATATATATATATATATATATATATATATATATATATATATATATATATATATATATATATATATATATATATATTTTATTTAATTTGGGTCATATTCAGTAGTACTAGACTACTAGTCAGCATGAGACCAGCGATCTAAGCAAAGTAAATGAGCAACCCGAGAAAGAAAGCCCTTTGTGAAAAGACAAAAAACACCAAACTTTGATGATATAAATTAGGGAGAATGAGAAGGGTAATTGTGGAATTTGAGTTAGGTAGTGGCTCCACAGCAACAAGACAAGTTATCTTGTTTGTGTTAAGAGTAAAAGAAAGTTGTTTTGGGGAAACAAATAATTATGTTATTATATGGTTTTGGGAAGGCCAGATATGACATAATAACTTTTTTTGGACAAATATGATATATTAACTTATTCGGAACGGAATCCTACATTTAATTTGGATTTTAAATATTTATGGTAATAAGATATTTATACACCATAATCAGTTTTGTCGAGTTAAGAATCAGATCTCAAATAATGTTTCTTTAGGTCTATTTTATTGACAAGTTTGTCCTTGTGTTTAAATTGGGTTTATCTCATCATGTTTGGTTTATATTTTAAAAAAAGACAAATAGTTTTAAGTGGACATAAATGATTTTGGTTTATTTGTTTCAAAAGTAGAATTGGTTATAAAATTAAAATTGATTCTATTTAAAGTTAAAATTTGTAATTTTTTAAATTAAGTATGATTTATATAATGTTCAACTCAATTTTACATTGGTAAATTTAAACATAAATTATTTTATATTTAATTTAATTTTAGTCAAAAATTATTTTACAAAATCAATTTAATTTTACATAATTTATTTATTTAAATTAATTTAATCAATTTATTCAAAATTAATTTAATCAATTTATTCAAAATTAATTTAATTTTACATAATTTATTTATTTAAATTAATTTAATCCATTTACTCAAAATTAATTTAATTTTACATAATTTATTTATTTAAATTAATTTAATAAATTTATTCAAAATTAATCTTCTTCCCACTAGGTGTCCATGAGATGGTTTGACCAAGTCAAATTGAAGGGCTTATTTTGATAATTGGAGAGAGTAGGAGTGAGATGTAAATTTGCCTACGGTGAATGCAATGATGAGAAAAATAATGATTTTTGGGTCAAAGCGTCAACCTCAAAGACAACAATTAAAACGAAGATATTGCATTTGCATGTTGAATGGATTATGGAGGGACAGCATGGGTCACAAAATCAACCAACGACTATGTCATTGCCTCATACTCACGGAATCTAAGACTCAATAATCTATTTTTAATAATTTTTATTTTTTATTTTTTTTCATATTTCACACAAACTTTGAGGGAAGTTAGTATATCTAATAGTAACATTATACGTTAAGTATAGTATCTTGTCAAGTTAACATCCATTAGAAGACAACAATATTTTGATACTACTATCATCATATCATATCACACCAAAAACTTCTATATCCTAAAAAGACAGAAGATTTATCCTAGTCACCACGTTTTGAAGCTTCCATGTTTTCATCTTTCCTTGACTTGCCAAATGATTTATGTGCTTCCAATACAGGCGGCATAAAGATGTCATTGGCCGACTTGTCGGTTTCACGTGGAGTCGCCAGCTTCTTCTTGACATTTTCAAATTTTGCAGTGGCCCATGGGGCTGTGCCTACATATCTTTTTGAATCTGATGTATCTAATGTCAGCATGGACACCGCATCACGAGAGGCAGACCAGGAATAACCACATTCGATACATTCCAGCTGAACAAGCAGAGTAGCGATCAAACCAGTGTCATAAAAATGCAGGAGATGAATTTCAATATTTAAATATCAGTACAACGTTAAGGTGCAAACCATATATCGATCAGCGTGTCCTGCGCGGATAATATCCCTCACGCCCACCTTCTGCTCTGTGCAACGTTTGCAGCGAGTGTCCGTCATCTGGATTGCCGATGGAAAAGCTAACAGTAAGTAGTAATCAAACAACTTAATAGATAACACAAGATTGTTAGAGTGAAGCAAAAAGTGACCTGCATGTGTTGTGGCTCGTCAGGTTCATTCTTGGATATTTCATCAGCAGTCAAACCCTCCTGTAGTTCAAATATTCTAGTAAGAACTTGGAAATTTATCCAACATTTAACAGTACATTCTGAAATTTATCCTCTTTCAACAGGACAAGCAGTTTTCTAAAAGTATGTTCTGAAAATTTCATCCAACACTTGTCATTTTAAGATGTACCAACTATGTGTTTAACTTGTACAGTCCACCTTCAAAACATCACAGAAAACAAACATTTATGACAGGTTTACACTCATCAACTGATCACATACTACCAAATTATAGTGCTGATTTAACCCAAGTATGATGCTTCAATGAAAATACAAGAAAAATAAAACATTAGGACCGATGCAGGGGTGGTCACCATTTCTATAAAGCATGAGAGTTTTTAGATCTTTCACTATGAACCAGTCTAACTAGAGGTTTTTTAGACCCACCTATGAGAATTGGTTGGAACATTTTAACATAATACTACAATTTTTTTCACAAAACATATTAACTGGTCCAATAATCATAGGTTCAATGCTGTCAATGAAATTCAGGCAAAAGTATATATTTTTTTATTCTACTAGCATTTGAAATGTGATAAATAGATAAAATATGTTGAAAATTATAAAAGGTCAAACCAATTGTATTGACCAAACAAAATACATACAAGAAGCTATCAAATTAAAAGCTTCTAGCTCTCATTAAATACCTTCAATTCAGTAGGTGTCATAGTTAATATTTTTGAAGCTTCTAGCTCTCCATTTAATAGACGGGTTAACAGAAATGGATTGATCTGCAAAATAAGGTTACGAAAAAATTATAAGCATTCCATCAACCTGCAAAATTTGGCCTTGGTAAAAAATAAGGTTATGAAATGATATTAATTACAACAGAAATAGAAAAGAAAGCAATCCATACAACAGAAATATAAAATTAATCAATAACTCATCATTAGTCACATGAACAAACATAGTCCAGATAAGATTGACGCCGTTTTATTAGACATCTAATCTTCTAGTCATTGATTTTTAATAAGTAATAATATAATAAAATATCTATTCAACTAGAAGTACAAGAAAGTCCCACAGGGGACTTATCCAAAATAAAAAGTAGCAGTTACAGGTGATTTTGTATCTCCTAGGTTCAAGGACATTGCTTATAAACATTTAAGGTTAACAATCCATATTAAAAGTAACTCCCAACCTTTAGATTAAATGCTAATTGTCGTAGTTTTTGGCTGTATTTTTGAGAATCTGATGAAAGTGTATCGTGTAAAGCATTCTCTAGAGCAACTACAGCTGGAACAGCAGCATCTGGCCAGATAAAAGACTTGGAAATCTGTAGAGTGAAAAGGGTAAATGCTGAATTCATTATAGTCCTCAAGAGAAAGGGAAACAAATAAAAAGATTATGAATATAAATAAACCCACTCAATAGATCATAACCACAATTGGGTACTTAAAGAAGTACCTTCAGAACTTTGTCTTTACACTCATTTTCTATTTCTAAAGCTTTATTGGTGCCTCCATTGTTAATTGCATCAGAACTGTCACTGCATTTCTCTTTTTTCTTTCTGATGTCATCAGTATGAAACAAGTTCTGAACATCTTGAAGCAACTTCACCAAACCATTGTCACGATAGGTATCACCTGTCAATGCATTAAATTTCACTAATATACGATAATGCTCTGAGGTATTAGCTAAACAAGTCCTTGGTGTTTCAACTTTCAGAGGTTGGACACTCCTTCGAGATGTTCCGTCCTCTCTTGAAACATCAAGAGGTGAAATACTCTTTTTCTTTAAGATTCTTTTATTTCCAATCAGATCTTCCTGATCAGCAGGAGCTTCATCAGTCTCGATGTCAGGTAGCTCACCCAAACATTGAAAAGTTTTCTGAACAAGCTCGTCAATTTCTGCTTGTTTATTGTCCTCATAGTCTTTATCTGTAAGCTTCCACAATTTCATTTCTACTGTGTCATAAACCTTCTGCACAATAAACCCAGGATGTTCCTTACGATTCGGAAGCTGTTTGTGTATGGGAACAAAATGCACCACACACCTATGCATAACAGATTCCGCAGGAACCTCATCACGGTGGAAACTATAAAACAGCTCTCTGGTGTCACTAGTTTGCCAGCTACCACCTCCCTTTTTGACCGCTTCATCTGGCCGGTAAAACCACTGCCCTGTAATCTTCAAGCTGCCATCTAGGGATTGTGTAATGTCCTGACAGAAAGAAAAAAAAGCATCTTCAAAAATCAAAAAAAAAAAAAAAAAAAAGGAAAGTATCAAAACTAAACTCAAAAAATCTTTACACTTGCATTATATCAAAACTAAACTCTAAAAACACTACACACATAAAACTGTGGAATTAAAAAATGCATCAATCATCAACAAAGGGAATATATCACTTGTACTCCATGTACTTTTCTAGCAGAACTGACTAGTTAATAGTTATTACTTAGTATTTTCCAAACCCAACATATCTTCAAAACAACATGCATAACTATTCAACAAGGAACCTATGAAGCATAGACACCATAAACACAACACCAAGACCTACACGTCAACCCCAGTAATAATATGAAAAATGAATAAACTAAACATATCACAATGTCAAGTGTCAGTGTCGGTTTCCGACACAGACACACTTTCCTCAAAGGTGTCGGTGGTGCTGCAGAGCAAGGAACTAACCTTAATAATTGCCACATACGGTTTTTGGTCTTTACCCTCAGGCACAAGAAGCACAGGATCCTCCTGCAGAAACAATACACAATCACTTCACTTACAAAAAGTGCCCCCATCATCATCCTCACAAACAATGCCCAAACCAAACCCTAATAATCACAAGCTAACATGCACTACTTAGCATTAAATCAACAAATTCGAATTACATGATAATTTTGATTAAAACAAAACGAAATTCATGCGTTGTTCTAACTCTATTCTACTAATCTTCAACTAGTAGCAACGAACGAAGTAAATAAAAGTAAAAAGAAAGATAATATACAAGTGAGTATAGGTTATCGTCGAATTCAAATGACTGAAAATGACTCTTCATGCCTCTTCCTTTTCCGGAAACCCTAACCGGTCCACCAACAGGTTTAGCATCCTCCAATGGCGATTCCTCTTCTTCACTGGACGATTCCTCTTCCTCCTTCTCACCATCATCACCATTCAACTTCATCTTTTTGTCGTTCACGTTTGCCTGTTCTTCTTCTTCCTCATCCTCTTCCTCTTGAAGGTTCAGCACCTTCCTTTTGCGGCGGTTGGAAGCGTTATCGTCGACGAGGTTTGGTAAAGTGGAGTGTGGCTTGGAAAGAGGTTCATCGTCGTCGTCATCGCTGGTTGGCAGTTGAGTGAAGCGTCGAGTAACCATTTTTGTTTAGACTGAGAATGCCGCTACAGTTTCTCGCATACAATTTGTATTTTCGGTTTTTTGAACTTTAATATACCGCTTTAATTCTCACCAATTACGGTAACAAAATATGTTCTCTCGCAAATTTTGTTTTTCCGCGTGGTAAATACTACTCTGCCCTCATCTCTTGTGCTATCAAGACACTAAATTAGGGGTAAATCCTGTCTAAATATTAATTTTTTGCAGTTAATGCTTGATTTTGTTATATTACAACTATACTAGTATCAATTAATATTAACTTTTTGCAATTAATGCTCGATTTTGTTATACTTCAACTATACTAGTATCAATGAGTAGTACTTTTTGTTATATTTGTAACATAGTATTCTTCTTCAATCATTTTTATTACCTTTTGCCAACAGTTTCCAAATCAAGTATTTCACGACCCACTTCCAATTTTTTCCTATGATTTTTTCTTTTTCTTTTTTCACCAAAATAAACTTCTTTTTTCCTATGATTTTTTCTTCCATCATCAGCTTCTTCTTCCTAGACCAGTGTGGCGGCGGCGTGACCCGGAAAGAGGGCAGCCTGGATTCGTAGTGGATGTGGAAAACGCCACGCGGCGGCGATGGCGTGGCGTGGTGCTAAACTGTATGGTTCGAAGGAGAAGGACGGTGGCGAGTGGAGTGATGCAATGGCCGAAAATCGTTGGATTTGAAATTGAAAAAATTCCTTCTTCTTTTCTATTTTAGATTTGTTGTTGTTCTTTTCTTGTGAAAGTAAAGGAGATGCGTTTGATGATGTATATGTGATTATTGATTTGAAAAAATAATATTTTCATTATAACAATATTTTTTTTAATATATTCAAAATAAAAATTAATAGAAGAATTAAGGGGTAGGAAAAATAAATATTTTTTATTAAGGAATAAATGAATAAAAATAAGATAAGAAATAATAAATATATATAAGGTGATCTACTGTCTCTTCACCGGTGGTAAGAAGGAGTAGGGGGTGTACCTGCAAGACACTCTGATGCTAAAGTAAGAAATTGGACTGAGTGAGAGCAAATACAGAAAGTAGGTTGATAATTGAATACCTGACCCTCTTGTGAAAAAGGGTATTATAGAGAGACCCTAGCGCAGGGCCAACGGTCATTTGAGTTAGGCTGGATGGCCAGGGCCAACCCAAGTGACTGTTAGGGCTTACGTGGCGTAGTGAAGACTGGAACGTGGTCTTCGCCCTAGTTCAACTGCTCCGTGAAATTCGAAGAGTGAGTTGACCTGCTCTTTCGGAGGTGGGCAGTTGGTTGATGACGTGTCCCCGCGGAGGGGAGCAAGTGGAGAACGTGTGTGGCGCACGTCTTCCTTATAGAGAGACCCTAGCGCAGGGCCAACGGTCATTTGAGTTAGGCTGGATGGCCAGGGTCAACCCAAGTGACTGCTAGGGCTTACGTGGCGTAGTGAAGACTGGAACGTGGTCTTCGCCCTAGTTCAACTGCTCCGTGAACTTCGAAGAGTGAGTTGACCTGCTCTTTCGGAGGTGGGCAGTTGGTTGATGACGTGTCCCCGCGGAGGGGAGCAAGTGGAGAACGTGTGTGGCGCACGTCTTCCTGCTCAACCGAGAGACTTTCTGTCCGATAGGGCAGCGCCTGGTCGACGAGAGCTTCATGCCCGACATAGGTGAGGAATACTCATTTGGGCCTTTCACCAAGTATAAATGGGTTGAGCCTTCCCGGTCAAGCGGGGGCCCAGGCCGGAACAGGAGCCCCCCCAAGTCGTAGCTCCGAGGTGATGGAGCGAGGACTTAATGATGTCGTACTTAGCGCGGAAAAGTGTGTCGGGGAAGCTTTTGTCGGGCACAGGTGTCGAGGAAATATTCCTACCAGACGTGGGCGTGTTGCGGGTATGAATGTGTTCGGGCTGTTGGACGTCCATGACGAGGACGCGCCCCCTGACGTCGTTGTCGGGGAGGCGTAAGGTTGTTGTTAGGGAGATGTGAAGGGACGCGACTATCAGCCTTCGCCACGTGTCAAGCGTTGAATAGGCCATGTGGGGCGATTACCCTAAGGCATTCAAGTGCCTAGGGACGCTTCGAGTCCCGTGCTGGGGGTATAAGTACGTGAGTCCCCGTCCATTCCATATTTTCGCTTCTGCTTCCTTTCTCACGTGACGAATGATTCGTTCGTGCCTTCTCGACATCTCCGACGCACCAACCGTCACGCGCTCTGTCGTTACCTATAAACCAGTAAGTTCCCTCTCTTTGCCTTTTATTGTTTTGTATCTTAGAGTTGGCATCAGAGCGTGTTGAGTGCCCCGAGGACGGAGGTGAATCTCCGTCGTTCCGTCCGATGAGGGATGCGAATATCCATCTCTATAGGCGACGTTCTCTAGGTGTAGGATGAATGCGTCGAGATCGTGAGAGGGCGAGGTTTGAATGCCCCGGGGACATGTACTAGTTTCAGATGAACGTCCCGGGGACGGATAGTAGTATTTTATGAGTGCCTAGGGAGGTTGATAGGCTCAGAAGTGTTCCTCGGGGAGGTCTAGGAATGTAGGACAAATTCCCCGGAGACGCTTTCCCGGATGGCTTTTATTCCCGTCGTCGATGTTGTCCTCGTCGCCCTTTCACTTGGCCTGCGGTGGAAGGGTGAATTTGATCTCGAACGTCGAATTCACTGTTTTCTTCTGCTTTTCAGATGTTAATGACACCGTGGGTCCCGGGGACTATGGATGTGGATGACGAGCTAGAGGTGTCCACCGTCGAGAACGCAGTCTGGCCAGTCGAGGAGTGGGTGGCCGAGGAACCCCTGAATACACCCTCATACTTCGTGGATGGTGAGAATGGCGCCTTCGCCACCGTCGAGGATAGGTGTGAGAATGACCCCCAAAACTGGCAGGCGTATCGTCCTCGCGAGCATCACCGTATCTGCTCGTCGTTTGGGAAGATGCGTTTTCCTATGTATGAATTTTGTTTTCGGGAAGTCGGGCTCTGGTTACTGTTCACGGATTTCCAATTAGGGGTCTTCGACTGGTTACGGTTAGCCCCCTCGCAGCTGCACCCTAACGCCGTAGTCTTTGTTCGCGCGTTCGAGATCGTTTGCCGGTATCAGGAGATCGGGGCGACGTTGCCGCTGTTCTTCCGACTTTTTCATCTGCAGTGGCAGACGGTGGATGGTCGGTGTCATACCCTAAAGTTGTCCTACCCATTTTCAATTATTTTCGCATTTGGTTTTATAATTTGTCCGCATTTTTTTTACTATTTATTTTGTTTTTATCACCTTTATTTAATATTTTGTTTATATTAATTTATTTTCTTTCTAAAAAAAAAGTTATTTCTTTTAGTTTCAAGTTTTATAATTTGTTTATATTAATATTTAATCATTTACGTTAATAATGTTTTGTTTATATTAATGCCTAGTTGGTTTATTAATATTACTAATTATTAGTATTATTATGGTTTATTAGTAGATGTTAGTGTTATTTAAAAATAAGGAAGTAAAGAAAATGAGGAAAAACGGAAAGTGGAAGAATGACCCATTACTTGCAGCCCATTAGAGATTTGAGAGAGGAATTACTAGGGTTTTGGTCAGAATAAAAAGGGGCAGAACAAAACCCTAAGGGAGGGATTTTTACTGTTCATTATCGTGGAAAAACGGCCGCCCCTTTTTGAAAAAAAACCCTAATTCGAAGTTATTGTTCATCGTCTCTGAAAATGGCCGCCGCCCAATTCCCCAAACCCTAACGGCCGCTTACTCACCGTCTTCTTCCTCACATTCTCCGTGAAACCAACCACCCTCTCAATCTGCCGTCGGAAAACACTTTTTTCACCTCAAAATGCAACCTTTCTGCTACGACCCATCCCGTCGCAGTAAATACCCACACAACGATAACAGTAACCGTGGCTTTATCAGAGTTGATCTACTTGTTTCTGCTTGCAGGTTTCTGAAGGTGCCGATTTTAGTTCGTCGCTCACAAGCAATCGTGGTTCGCGGCACTTAGATGTTCAAACCTTTGCAACCTTCAATGTCATCACGCAACTCAGATCTTCGTCAGAGAAAAGAACGAGTCCATTTTGCAATATCGGCTTTGTCATCAGATTTACAATGCTGTGACATTTTTAGAACCGATAACTCAGAAGAGGCGACGAGGCATCTGTGAAATTCTCAACAGCCGCGCAACAACAAATTTCGGGTCATTCATTTGTGATTGGGTCCATTTCTAATTTGATTCTTGTTTTTCTTTAGGTCAGTTCTATTTGCTTTCAAGACATTATGTAGGTTGTGTGAATGTATTTTTTGTTGTTTGAGAGTGATAGCAATCTGTGGCAGCAGAAACTTATTGATCTGGTAATGCATTCGAATTTCCATACGTACTCGTTATTAGGTTGTTCTCATGATTGTTGCTTCTCGGATTTTGTTGGCTTTAAGATGCATATGTATATCATGTGGTTATTTCGCTCTTGTTAATAGTTCAGTCTTGTTCTTGTGAGTACCTTTGTTTTGAGTTTTTCTTTGCAGTTATCATCGAGTTATCATAATGTAGGTTTCGGTTATGCGTGGGTCAGACTGCAACAAGTTTATGGAGACACAGATGGGCGAGAACGGGTTATGCATACGCTTAGATTTTCTTTGTCGTTTTCAATTTTCGTATTGGTTTCCTGTTCTGTTTGGGTGCATTTCCATTCACTGCAGGTTTGTGTGCTGCAGAAGCGACTACAAAGTCGAACCAGTTCCGACTGCGCTATCACTTCGTCGGGTGCCCGTATGCTTGCAACTGGAAGCACAACTAGGTTTGGCAACAATCAACAACGCACGTTGGCTTTCACGGTTTTGAAGTGTTCAAAAGTTGAGTCGAATATGCCGTTACAATCGTGACGACTTCTTTAACAACAACTTTGTGATAATTGTGGCGAGTTGGTTTCGGTTTATGGAGACAGAGATGAACAGGAGAAGTGAATGTTAGATCTTTCTTTGTTTTCAATTTTGGTATTGTTTTGCTGTTTCTGTTGGTCGTTTTTTCA